CTGCTGCTTTCTTCTGAGCGGGGGGAGGTTGACATCCTCATTGCCTGGTCCCTCAGTGGTCCTGCAGGACTGTGGTAGCAGGTGTTCTCAGATGGATGCCTGACAAGGGCTGCAATCCGTGCCTTCCCTCTTTAGGGGTGCAGGGGCACAGCAAAGACACAGAAAGCCCTATGGGAATGAGGTACACATGGCCGACCCATATTGCATAGTATTTCTTAAGCTGACTAGAAAATAGAGCCCCCCTTGGGTCACAGCTACTGTACTTTCCACATACGGGTGATGGACTGAGCACGGTTTTGGAAATGCTGGTGAATGGTGACGTGTGCATTGTGGTCTTCATTCTGTTCTGTGTCAGTGGTGTTTTCTTCAGCATAGAGCCCCAACATGGATTCTGTGCACAATTTGTTGCTTATTTTCTTGCCCATTCTTTTGTGATCTTTATTCTTTACATTCGTTTCCAGACCTTAACCTGCAAAAGGTCATGTGGGTCAGTTTCCATTTGTTTCTCGTAATGATGTGTGTTTCTGAGTAAGAAGATGAGGAGACTTTATGGTATTTCTGTATCTGGAGAAGATCCCTGAAAGCCAAGAACTGACCCCAGAGCAGAGTGCCCTGTAGAAGAACCAGCCATAGCACAGGGAGGGATGGTCTCCCAGTAGGTAACTTCTGCTGTGTCTTTGTAGGAGAATCTTCTGACGATCCATTGGAACCACAGCAGGACAACCAGGAAGAGCAGGTCCTCAGTCCTGTGACAGAGAGTGACACCGGGACCTTCCCTGAGGAAGGAGGCCTTGGCGGTGAGGAAGATGAGGAGCGCTCTGATCTCTCCAGTCCTCAGGGAATGGAGCCCCTGGAAACCTCGACTCCTGGAACCAGCGCCAGCCCTGAGCCGATGGAACCCATCAGATGCAGTGTGTGTCAGAGAGTCTTTAAGACCCAAGCAGGCCTCAGGATGCACGAGTCATTCCACTTAGGAATACGGCCCTTTAAATGTTCCCATTGTGACACAGCCTTCTTCCTCAAGCCCCACCTCAACAGACATCTCAGGAGTCATTATGGTGAGAGGCCTGAGGGGTGTAATGTAGGTAAGAAACCTTCCCCCAGCTTGTAAAAGCCCCTGGGTGGGTGACAAGGGTCAGGCTGAGTTCTATGAATGTCTTGAGTGTGGCAAAGCTTTCATCCACAAGGTGCATCTCTCTCAGCATCTCAGAGCCCATGAGTTGGCAAAGTCTCTTTCCCCTGCGATGCACCATAGGACACATGTCATTCGTCATCAGCGGAAGCATGGCTATGTGGGGGAGAGAGCCTGCCAGTGCTGTGACTGTGGCCGAGCTTTCAGTCAGAGCTCCTATCTGGTCCAGCACTGCGGCGTTCATGCTCATGATATTCCTTACCAATGCCAGCTCTGTGGGAAGTGTTTCAGCAACCCCTCCCCCCGTACTCAGCACTACCAGCTCCATCCTCCAGAAATAGCAGTTGGGGGCAGTTAGTGTTAAAACACTTTTCTTAACCTGCTTGGGTTTATCCATTAGAGAGATCTTTTAATGCCCTTAATTTGAGACGGCCCTCACCCTCCCTCATAAAACACCTTGTTCATTAGAAAATTCAGAATGGTGTGGTGAGAAATAGTGCATGGTTAAAAGTGTACAGGACATTCTTTTTATTAAGCAATTAATTTTGTACGCATCAAAAGTCTCCTCAACGAAACATTATAAACAATATTTCTGTCACTTAAAGAAGGCAACAGATTTTACCTTCCTTCAGTTTCATGGGGTCGAGAGCGTTGATTTGGACATCCTGATAAAAC